TAAAATACTTAATCACCATTCTCAAACTTAAACATCTCCAAAACTTAATTTACCCCGAAAGTAAATCACATGAAACTCAAGCTTTATTAACCAATCTTTCAACAATGATTCTATATTTCTACCATCATCTTATTCATCTTAGGAGAACTCTTAAGATGATATTATCCCTTTTTAATTTTACATGGGGTCTTACAGATGAGCACTCGGAAAAAACTTTCGGCATAGCCTCTAACAAACCCAAGTTACGATCAGATACAAAAGTAATTATCCGAGTGTTATCCAATATCTTATTTAACTGTTGTAAAAACCCAAAAACAGTTTGATTAAAATCGTGAAAATCAATAGCAAAAATATGAGAATGTGTAACATAAACTATAACAGTGTATCTACACACTGTTAACAATTCAACAAAGACAGTATAAAATAACCATGAAATTTATGAACGAAATAACAATATGGAATTTTACTTTGGTTGCCACCTATTGTAGTTGTCAAAAGAAGATTACCTCTATATCTACCTTTCAAAAATGTCCATCCAAAAACAATAGTGGACGACAATAATTAAACCCCTCAATACAACCCTTAAAAAAATAATTAATCTTTTGAAACGGTTATTCTCATGATCACAATCTAAAACAATATTACTTTCGAATTAGAACGATTCACTGCATTAGCATACCAATGTAGTTGTTGGTACGACAATGAGTGATCCCAAAAGCATACCTTTTGTTTTCTCAACCTTCTCCCATGCTTTGTCATATGAAATGGTAAGTTCATATTCATAAAAAAAAATCAGCAACCATTTCTGTTGGATGCATTTTGGTATGCCCACGAACATGATCAATAATCAATTCTACAATCAAATTAGAACTCATCCTCTTGTTATCTGTCATTCATAAATCTACACCCCAACTGTGTTTATTCTTTAATTTCCTAAAATAAAAAAAAACCTGTAAAATTCTCGATTGTTTCATTGATATATCATCCACAACTAGAAGAACACTAAAATGAACACTCAGCAATAACTCTTGAATTACAATTCTTTAAATAATTAAATTCAAAACCAGCATCAATCGAGTATTTGCAAAGTGCTTTTCGAAACTGTAATACACCACCTTCAAATTTCTGTCCTATATGTTGTATTTCATTAGTGCACCCAGATGTTAGAACTTTTTCATTTTGACTAATAAAATTGGGTAACAAATCTGTCTCAGAATCAATATCATCACCTATGTTCACATTTTGCAAAGAATCGTTATCACCTAATGAACCTCCCTCAACATCTTCCACAAACACCTTAATGCCAATGTAATTTCTTGGGAAACTCCATTTCAATTCAATCACGTGCTTCAAATGTGCGTCGTTGCGCAACATGCAAGTGAGTTGACCAAGTATAGAATATGACAATTGTACCAAAAAATTTAACAAGTGATCCCAAATTTCGCAAACTCCACGAACAAGTTCCGATATATTTGAAATAATAGATATTTTGAATACTAAAGTAGCATTTTTGTATCTATATAAAAGTAACACCGTTTCCTCCATTGCAACACCTTTCAATTATTAAAAATACATATATAATGAGACACAGAATAAAAATATATATACAAAGAGACACATAATAAAAACATATATACAAAGAGACACAAAGACACGGAATAAAAACATGATTTATTTACTACATGAACAATGTAGAAAAACATGACGCAAACGGGTGAAAATATCCTATATGGTGTTCGTATATAAAATATGAACAATGTGGAAAAACACCCAGTAATACAGGCTGTGCTTTGGTGGGTAACAAATTAAAACACATTACGTCTCAGAAGAACAACCATTGTGGTGTTCCTGAATAAGATAAATAACTATGAAAAAATGGAATAATAAACTTTAAAATGACCGACAAAAACATAATGGTGTCATGAATTCAAACTTGGTAATTGTTGAGATTGAATAATAAGGATGAAGTTAAGTTTCAGCCTTGCACTAATAATGGCTTACCCTTCGAAGAAGAAGAAGACAACCAACAATAATGTTTTAAAATTTAAAATTCGAACTGACTGGAATACAGAGAATAAATGGAAGAATCAATTCTTTCATTAAATTAGGAAATGTTTAATGCAAAAATATAAAATGAAAAAAAAACATTGCTTCCAAAAAAAATCGCATGATTTAAAGGAAGACACAAATGTCAAAGAAAAGTCTGAAAATTTTAAATTGTGTACTTGGACACAATTAAGTTTTAAAACTAAAGACTTAATTACTTAACATAAAGATCTATGGACTTTTTTTACAAATAACTCCAATATTTTGTATCCTCTGCCAATTTTCCAATAAATAAACCTTTTATAAAAATACTACTGCAACAAAAAATCTTTTTTTTTTTTTTAGAACATTTTTTTGGTGATGGTAAACATAGCTGGCACACATTGTTTTTTCTCAGAAGATCCTAATTTTTGTAGTGTGGGTACACACATACATAATTCGTAAGCATTGTCTATGCTAATAAATGTGCCCTTGTTAAGTGTACTAAATATTTTTAACCGCAAACTTCTCTTTCCCCTTGTGGTTTAGCCCTTTTGTACAACACTTCCTTATTGTTAAAAAATAATCACATAATTCTCACATGGTATGTGAATTAGGATTTAACGATAAATTAAAAATGCAAGTCTCCAAGGCCATGATGAAGAGTCTGAAACTTTAGAATCCCATCAATGAAAACTCTAATTTTCCTCTTCTACGTCATGGATTAAATTAACTTCAAAGCATTTATCATAAAGGATTAGTATAATTAAGGCAATCAATGTGTCGTTTCACATGTTTTTGAACCTCGTATGTCATATCATGCAAGAATACCGAGGCGCTAGCGGCAGGAACAACAGTCAAAATTGCTGTGGAATTGAGTTATGAAAGTAGACTGGTTGACGGAGATTCTAAAGCTATTATTGAGGCTGTGAGGCAGGGTAGGTCAGATTTATCAGAAGAAGGCAAGTTTGTGGACCAGATCTATTGTTATGTAAACAACTTTGCTAGTTTCTCTGCTCTATGGACTCGAAGAACTGGCAACAGCGCTGCCAAATACTTAGCTAAGTTTGCTTTAGAGGTTACAGAGTCTTGTACATAGAGAGGGGTTTGTCCAGATTTTTTGCAAGCTACCCTCCTACAATATTCCTCATCTCTGCGGTGAATAAAATTATCATCATTTCTTATCAAAAAATAAATAAATAAATAAATATCTTGTATGTCATGTCATATTAAAATTTATTCAACTCATAATCAATTTTGACCCATTAATAATCGTATATAGTTTTGACCCTATGCCACTTTTGTGTCGGGGTCGTGGGTTGTGTAGGGAATCTACGCCCTTACAAGTGCACTAAGGATTTTCAAATCCAATTGCCATTAAAAGCTTCAAATGATCATTTGCATTACATGCACATACAATTCAATCTTTTCCATCACTTTTTGTACATTTTAATGTATTTCCACCTAGACTCCATATAGTAGCTTATATCTGAAGGAGCACCATAAACCCCACATTTGAAATGAAAGTCTTCAGGCCCATGATCATGAATCTCAAACTTTTGTACACCATCGACAAAAACTCTAACCATTCCTCCATCAACGTTGTGGATTAAATTAACCCTAAAACATTTATCATAGAGGTTTGTTGCATCCACGAGTTCATAACTGCAGTGCCTCATCTCTCCATTGTAGATCCTCAAAAGCATAGTCGTATTTCCTTGTGCTGCATCATGAATCTGCACTATTGTTGCACCAGAGGTGCCGTTTGGCACCAAAGCATTGCCTTCGAATTGCCATACTCTCGAACAGTGGTCAAGCCCCTGTACTAACAATGATTAGTTTCATATAGCCCAAATTATTAACATATGTTATAGCTTTAACGTAAAGTAATTTCACTGTCCTTTACACTACATATATTTTTCACTTTGTCCCGACACATTAACAATTTTTGTCTAAAAAAATAGCTGCCGTTAGCATTTTGGGGCAAGTTGAAATAATTGAAGTAGTTGGGAGGGGGGAGTGCGTATGGAAAAAATATAATAGTTTAAGAGACAAAATAAAATTGAGCCCATGGCTCAAGGGGTTCAAGTGTAATTTTCCTTCCCAAGTAAGTTGCACTGATATTTTTTAATAGTGTCTTTCTTTGCGATATCAAACTCAAATTACAATTAAGTGGGTCATTGGGGGATCGATCTCACATGTATGACTTCAGTTTGATTAAGTCTTAACTAATTCTTTTGAATTGAGTATTGTTATTGAGATATATAAAATCAAAATTCATTTGCTAACACGACCTTGTGGTAGCTTACATAGTCTATTAGAATCATTAAATATTGGACTTCTTTATTGCTTTATACACCATTAGTTAGCAAATTAAATTAAGCTAGATATTTAAGTCTCACACATTTCTGCTTTTGAGTTATGACTAGATCTAACTGAGTCAAAACTTTTGATATAGCATCAAATTCAATATCGTGCTAAAAGTTAAGATCTAAAACAAAGCAAGTTACGACGGGTTGCTTGAGATCGATCCCAAAAATTGGGTTTTATCCAACACTTTAGAATCAATCCCAACTTATTTGAGCTAAGTAATTCCCTTAAAAGTTAGCCAAATCTGATCTTTTTTAGTCCTAACTTAACCCAGTTGAGTGGTAACTTTACGCCCACATGCATCAATGGTACAAAAAGGGTAAATCTAGAGGGAAGATAGGTAGTGAGTACTTGAATGCGAATTTCAGTGCGTGGTTGGGTGTTGCTACCAAGGGCAAGTAGCTTATGATCAGCATAAACCTACATCTTGTGAACTCCATTTTTGTAAGTGTACTGCAGTAAAAAAATTCGCTTCTGTCAACGGAATTTCAGTGAACCCATCTGTGGGATCAGCACCAGACAACAGAGAGAGATTAGGGACTAATCTCACAAGTACAATAAGATAAAGTGAATAACAGTTGAACACACACATATATACATAGTTGGTCTTGTAAGGGTGTTTTGTTTCTGTACCTAATCTACGTGAAATCATTTATCAATGTGTGGTCTTCATCATGTCTTTTTTCTATGTAGGGATCGAATATTGACTATAAAATATTGTAGCCTCTGACGACATAATGGGACTAATTCATGTTAATCAAATTATTAATTTTTCCTAAATTTGGTTTCAATTATTTGGTCTATTGTCCTACTTCAGATTCCAATCAAAAACTAATGGCCCATGACAGAGTACACATTTAGAAAATGGCATAGAGCAAGACATTTGCCGAACGAGACACTATCCATTGACTGATAATTTTTAACTTTAATTTTGAATGAGACATATGCCGAACGAGACATGACAAGGTACACATTTATAACTTTAATTAATTGGTCCCTAAGAACTGATAATTTTTAACATGGTCAATCAACTTTTTTTTTCTTGATCAAAACACCATCAATTGACTCGATATTATAATTTTGGATTGACTTCTAGAGAGAAAAAGAAAAGTGAAGTAATTGCATGGTTGGAGCCACCTTAATTATGCCAGCGAGCACATGCCCACTCTCAACTTTTTTCTTCTTAAAATTACCTATATATATATTTTAAGTTTTTTGTCAATACATTAAAATGGATAAATTACATTGACACTTCCTGTAAATTGGTCTAATTATAGAGACATTCTCTCAATTTTTTGAATTTACACTGACACCCCTTATCCTTTACCTACTAATTTCACAAAGTACTCATATGGTTAGCATTATTATTGACAACGTCAAAAAAGTGATTACATCATCAACTTTTTAAACTTTTTACACTTTAATACACATATTACAACTAAACAAAATTAGGTGAACTTGTTTATTTTTGTGTTGTATTCGTATTTTTTTTTTTTTATAATGTGGAACCGCTTCAAGGCAGGGCCACTTTGGATCGATTACTGTGAGAGTAAATCCTGGATGTATAAAATTATCTGCAAACCATAGGTATTAGTTAAGCTCAAGAGACATCAGCGAGAGTCGAACTCCTAACGTCCGAGTGTACGGTTTGTCTTGGTTGTGACTGTGTTCATATTCGTGTTGACCAATATAAATTTTGAAAAAAAAAATTTAACGCTAAGATTTAAGTCTAAGATTCTATTATCACTTAATTAAATCCATGCTTATACTTTTTCTATAAATTAAAAATTAACTTAATAAACATAGCAATAATAATGAATAAAAATATATTTTTTATACAATAATTATGTTAGTACTTAATAAACATAAAAAATAATTAATATTTTATTTTTATAATACCAGTTAAACATATTGATGATGTCAATTTCGTATTATTCGTATTAACATATAAATGAGAAGATAGAGAAAGTTCGACCCGACTAAACAAATGGGTTGATTGTGTCAATTTCGAGTTTGATGGGTTAAACCCATAAATGACCCCTTTATTAGTATTTAAATATATGAGATGATGATAAGTAAAAATAATGTATAGTAAGGATAATTATGAAAATCCCATTTTTTGTTATATTTTAAGACCTAACAAGGAGTGTTAATGTAATTACAAAAAAAATGAAGGGATATCTCTGTAATTATATCAACCCGTGAAGTAATTGCAAGGGCTGAGCTACCTTAATTATGACCAGGGGCAATATGCCTACCCTCAACTTTTTTCTTCTTAAAATTACCAATATATATTTTAAGTATTTTTTTTAATATTTTAAATTGTGGCCACCCTATTTTTAAGTAAAGACGAGAAAATGCATGATATATTCATGAGTTTACTTAGAATTTTGACATTTATTTTAGTAATTATGACAAACATTATAGATAACACTTCTGATTGCATAATCGAATGAATAATAAATAGTTAAGTGACAACATGATTGTGGACATAAAAAATAATAAAGTTGTTACGCAAGAATTTCAATTCAAAGTATAAAAATTCATCAGAGTCAATTTTAAATGGTTTTGATTAGCTTGTTTTTATAAAGGTTTTTTGGTATCATTTGTATCTACTATGCTTTACCAATTTTAATCTTTTAAGTTTAATGAACTTTTAAGTATTAAATAGGATGTAATTAAATATAAATGTGTTATCAAGCTTAAATTACACTGAAAGTTTCGATTTTGTAATATAAGTTAAAGTATTTGGGACAATTTGATTTTAAAGTATTTTAACTTTTGTATCTAATTTCTTTTATGATCTTTCTCTTTTGGGTAAACTGCATAAATGACCTCTGAACTTTAGTCTTCATTTTAAATTACACCCTAAACTTTTAATTTTTTTTAATGTACCCCCTAAATTATGTAAATCGTTTTAATCAGGTCCTTTAGTGAGATTCTAATGTTAGATGGGGATGAAATCGTAACGTTGGCAGCTGGTGGAGGGCTTTTTAGTCCATTCAAGTAATATGCATAGTTGGGTTGAAGAAAAGGTGCCAAAGCTCTCTCTCAAACCGTTATTCAAGTAATATGGTGTACTAATGTGGATACCTATATCTAACCATGTTATATATGTGTCATGCTTTTATTATTTTTCTATCTTTCGTATTACTATCTTTCAACTTATGATATCAGTGTTAATTATCCGCTATGCAAAATCAACATTGCATTTCACTTATATACAAAAAACTTAGTATGAAATAAAAAGCTAATTTGGACTTGAAAAACATCAATTTGATTATATTATTCTCACAATTGAAATTGAGAAAAAAATTGAGAGGGTTAGATAGAAACTGATACAAAAAAAGACGTGATTGACATTAGTGCGATCCTCCGACGAGTTGTCTCACTTATACATAAAGTTTGGTGAGTTGGTGAAAAGACTGCCCATAATTTTTCAATCACTCTTATTTTTTGGGGCAAGCTTTATTTTACCCTCTTGGGTTTTGATCTATTTGTACATTACCTCCCTCAGGTTCTAAAATAACACTTAACCCTTTTGTGGTTATTGGAGTAAAATGCACCGTAAAAATTTGCATCAATTTTAATGATGTTTATACATCACGCATCTGTTATGCAATTTGGTATAAAAAATACATGTCAAAAAGACAAAAAAAAAACCCTCCACACCTTCTGCCTTCTCATTTGCCTCCTCTCTCTCTCTCTCTCACACACACCCATAACAACTCTATAACACATTGAGATATGTAGTAGAACAAGTCGCCGACAACCATGCAACACAGATCTGGAACACCATAGCAAAAACCTTCTCCTCTTCTGCTAAGTCTCTCTCTCTCTCTCTCTCTCTCTCTCTCAAAATGAACCATAGCTAAATTGGTCGAAGCTCAGATCCGGAACACCACCAGCCAAGACCGATCTATTGGAGGTTGATGGTTAATGGTTTTGGAGCTAAAGAAGCTGATATGCTTTATGAAGGACCATATCTGCGTTATTGAGAGAGGGGTAGCACCACCAACCACCATCACTGATCAACCACCACCGTCACTAATCAATGATACGACCCAAGGGAGAAGACAGACAAGAAGACTAGCAATTTTGTAAACCCCCACACTCTTATCTTTATATAGCAAGTAATTATTTTTGAAATGCTAATATAAGTGATGAGGTATGCATGAATCCTATAGATTTCAATAGTATGAATAAATACTAGGGAGGCAAATTTTTTTTTTTTGAAATTTAATTTTTGGAAGTGTTTAAGGTTGATAAGGGTAACTAAGTAAAAATATTAATTTTTTTAGGTCAAAATAATATTATCATTAAACTTGGAAGATCTGAAAAACTTGGAATAGTCGCTTAACACATATAGCGGTTCGGAGGAATAAAATAGTAATTTTAGTGTTTCGAATGTAAATTTATTTTTGTTTTGAGATAAATCATAAAAATAAATACTTTTAGGTTAAAATAACACTAAAAATGAGTCCAAAAAGTCAAAAAATCTTAGGGTAGTCATGTGGATCAAATTGGAGATTTTAGTGGTAAAATCGTAAATTTGAAGAAAACTCAAACAGCCTGTGAACAGTAACTTCGAGACTGATGTGTTTAAAACACTAATTTCAGCCCATTTAATCTCAATCTTTTCACTCCACTCTCACCCCAAACCTCTTAGCACCCTAGCAGAAGATAGAGGAAAGGGAGAAAGGAGGTCTCTAGAGCTTGAGTTTTGGTTTGGAACTTTGATTCAAGGTAGGGATTTCTTCTCATTCTCCTACATTGAGGCTAGGGCTTATGTATATATGTACTCTTTTGACTCTAAATTCAATATTTATGTTATAAAATCTTTAATTCTTGATATTCTTGCAATAAATGTCATGTTTTAAATAATGTGATGGTTGGGTAACCATTAAAGCTCTCTTTTTCATCTTCAAATCTTAGATTTTAAGAAAAATAAATTTTTCTCTCCATATTTCCTTTGTTCTTGATTTCTAAAATTTAGGCTTTCCATTAAACAATAAAATGGTATTGATGTTGATCTCTTGTCTATTTTTCTTACATGGTTCTATTGGATAACATACGAGAAATTTTGGGAATTATAAACTTTTGTTAAGAAATTGTTGGTGATTGTATCTCATGAAGGTGTTTTGATGACCATGGATAGCCGTTGATTAGGTATCGTAGAGTGGAAAGATGTGTGTAGTTCTTACTTTGTGCGGGTTTAAACTTTTCCTACCATTCGTAGTTGGGTTGCTGCCTTGCGAGGACCAAACCACTATTAGCTCACGGGTGCCATGTCAGATGATTAGTATACTATGCCTGAGTCAGATTCATTATTGCCGGTGCATTGGTATGGGACAATACATCGGTAGGCGCCCTTCCCGAAGTTTGATATCCTTGCGAGGATTTGTGTGTGTGTGGGCCAGGATATTATCTATGTATTTAT